GATGGCCATTAACAGGAGGAAAATATGGCCAGATATGATTGATAATAGATAAACAATATCCAATAATAATTTGTATGATGTATTTCATGTATGTATAGTTGGATAGTTGGATAGTATTGGTAGTTTACAACTATTAGTTTTAATGGATGTTTAGATTTTAATGGTTATTATAATTTTTATGTTGTACTCTTTTTTATGATTGCTATGGCTGGAAGCTATCGCAATAAACTGACTGACTGTTCCTCAGTTTACCTGCTGAGAGGGGAAAATACCTGGGGTGCCAGTCAAATTGGAACACCTGGGTTCAGACCACTGTGTGATCCCTCTGCCACTCGAGGGTGAGGACAGGCTGGCAGCTCCTGAGCTGGGCACACCTGCTTAATCCTCTGCCCCCAAGGCCCCTTAACAGCCCCCCCCGCAAGGCAAGCCCCTGAATCCCACTGTCGGCGAGGTGGTGGATCAGTAGCTGATGGTTGATGGTGTCAAATGCCGCCGACAGATCTAATAGCAACAGCACCACTGAACCGCCTTGATCCAGATGCCTCCAAAGGTCGTTCGTGAGGGCGACCAGTGCTGTCTCTGTCCCATGGCCTGGTTGGAATCCAGACTGGAAGGGATCTAATGCGGAGGTGCCATCCAAGAAACCCTGCAACTGAACTGCCACCACCCTCTCAATTAGTTTGCCCAAACAGGGCAAATTGGAAACTGGACGGTAGTTAGCCAATTTGGCTGGAACCAGGGATGGGTTTTTTTTAAGAAGAGGACATACCACTGCCTCCTTGCGTGCCTCCTCAACAAGCTCATCTAGTGAGCCACCAAGGGGGCACTGGATCCTACAGGGCTATCTGAAGCCGCATATGGTCCATTTGACTCCATGGGCGAGCTAAAATATGCTTGCTGCCTATACAGAATTCGGGTGGAACATTCACATGGGCCTTCAGGGCATAGTGGTCCATGGTATTACCATAGCAGTAATTCAGTCCACTGTAACCCCCGCCACGAAGATCAGATTAAAAATGTGCCCCGCTTGGTGAGTGGGAGCCATTAAATATTGGGAGAGTCCCAGCACCGCCATGAATGACACCAGGTCCATCACCTGCATGGAAGCCGCGTTATCGGCATGGACACTGAAATCACCCAAGACTATCAGTCTAGGGTGTTCCAATGGCAGCCTGATATGGCCTCCAGCAGGGATGACAGGCTGTCAGTACACTGAGTGGACGGTACATCAGCCAAACAGCCAAACTCTCCCCGGCTTTCCACACAAAGCCAGTGCACTCTATATGCCTGTGAGCTTTGGTGGTGGGAGCCCCTCAAGGTGTAAGCCTCCTGAATGAACAGAGCCACTCCCCCCCCCCACACCCTTTAGTCCAGGATTGGTGAAGGACTGAGAACCCGGGAGAAGCCAGCTGGGAAAGAGCGAAGTAATCTTATTTTTAGCACAACAGTTGTTTTTCTTCCAAAGCACTGCAGTCACCATAGCACAAACCATCTAGTGGCATTACCTATACCAGTTCCCAGGTATGCACACTACAGGTAAGCTATTTAGTTAAAATTCAACTCTGCCCTATCCCACATTTAACTCAATGCACAGAGATGTGAAATACACAGGCTTTTAGGCTCTTCTTCCAGTTAGGAAAAAATGTCACAATCAACTATCCCTAACTGCAATTTTTGTTTGATGGAAACCCTTTGAAATAGCAGCAGCTGTTAAATAAATAAGAGTCAGCAAACAAGGAGAGAATACTCTGAAAACAAATTAGGTAATTATTCTAGAATGTGCAGTATGACCCCATTTGGGGCCAACTCAAATAATCTGCATGTGCCTAGTGTTCCTAGATTATAGACACACATTCAGGAAATAACTTGAACAGTAGATATAAAGAATGATCCGTGTCATGGAAATTTGTTCAATGATAGCAATCTTGGTGCTGTATAGCAAGTTGAGCAGCATCTGACCTTAAATTCAGGGACATTAACGTCAATTGAACAATATCAACATTGTTAAAACATTCTCTATTTTACCATCCAATAAACTTGATGTTCTCTTACCTGAATGCTTCTCTTCTTACAAAAAACTGCATATACAAGTGACGCGTGAACTCCCTGTTGCTCACATTGTAAGTGGAGAGGAAAAAAAGAGCTGGCCTTCATGGTAAGCAATACAAAAGAACCACAATTAAGTTCTGATGCCAATTTAAAAATGTACAGCAAGTACAGAAAACTAACCAGCCCAGATGAATTCTCATTTAGTATCTTCATCAGATTCATAAAGAATTTTCAGACAAAAAACTCTCAAACACATTGCTTTACAGGCTAGGGGAAAGCAGTATGTCTATGGAAATCCATCATCTACCATTAATATGAAGCAGAGGAAAGTAATCCCCACAGTAAGTCGCCAAAATGTTTGTATCTTCGAACTAGTACATTGACATCTGCATCATCTCAATCTCTGATACCAGGATGATAGAAAAGAATGGATTTGCACAAATCTGAAGATACGAAATGAGAATTCAGGGTCTTGTTAGGTTTTTTTGTTTTCGACACATGCTGTACCTTTTTATATTGACAATACAATTAACTCTTTGTGGTTCTTAATTTTGTCGTGTACTCTCCAGATTGTAATTGATCACCAATTACATCTGACCAATTGTTTTTCATCAAGAGTTGTAAATTAGTCTTTTTAGCCAATGTGTGCATTCACACTATCCTTTGATGTTTTAGTTCCGGTATGGTGGAAGGCAGCGTATGTTGTCTAGACAACCATATCACACTCCCTTTTCATCTGCATGCCATTGTGCTTAGCCATAATACCTTCATCTGGAATCTGTATCTACATAAAAGCTCAACTCAGCTTCAGCAAACATAACCATTTCATTACTGGGACCAAAGAGTTTTAAGTAACTCATGAACACATGCCAACAGCAGGTATTGATTTTAGCAGGTAATTCCAAACTGCACTGGTGCAAAAGGAGTACATAAGGCTAAGATACCTGTGAGGATTGTGAAAAAAGAAATACTATCAGAGCAAGAGGGCTAAACTAAAAAATGAGTCTTGTTAGCAGGAAATTACTTTTGAACTTTGTGGCATTACTAAAAACACTTCATTCAAGAAGCAATATGAGTTATATTTGTCCATTGCTTTTAGCAGACAAATGGGAACACATGCTTCATACACGCAAGGACCCAAATACCATCCCTGTCATCCACAGTTCAGAAGGACCTCTGAAGGTAGGACAGGGAAAGGCTCAATACCATAGTCAGGCCATACGGGTCTAATCTGGTCTGGCACAGTATCAAGTAACTTCATATGTTCAAAACTGCTTGCTGGATGGCAAATAATGAGCTCAATACAAGCCAGAACAGGAATGTTAAAGGAAAAAAACCCAAGAACTCAAGCCTAGCGAGTTTTATAAAATGAAACTTATCAGGGCCCTGTTTCTGTCTGTTCTCCATGCTAGCCCAATTCTTCTTCACAGCCTCATTCCTCCTTCTTCAAAACAGGCTTACCATGATATTAAGTAGCATGCTTGATTCTATTCCAAGAACCAGGAAACGCCCACTCCATGCCAATTCAAAGCCAGCATAGAGATGACTCACAACCCATTCACCTCAATGAGGCCCACAGAACACCATAACTTAATTATACATACACATACTATCAAAATGACATGGGATTCATCAACACAGGAGATCCTAAGGCCAATTCTGTGATGAGTAAAAACCAAATGTGGTATGAGATAGCAGCTGAACTTGAACACGGTCTTCAGAAAAGTCTACATTTGCACTTATTTTACTGTTTAAACTGGCTATGGGTATACATCCAATGTCCAGCCACATTAAGGCTAATGCTGGAAATGTTAAGTATCTAAGCTGTTTGTATCTAGAGCTTTCTTTCAAAAATACTAAAGTAAACTGAATATTCCTGGCAGGGTTATTTACAGGAATAACCCAAAGCCAATTTCTTCAGTACCAGAAAATGTGTTACAAATTATCAAGAATGAAGCAAAATTCACATCAATTCAAAATAATATACTAAAATTACATTTAATAGTTCCTAATTATAACATTTTACTAACTTAATGACAAAAACCTACTTTCTAATCTATGATTCCTCTAACACAAGACCAATGAACTGTGTTCTAGAGGTGCTACTCAGATTTACTGATTGCATGTGAATGAGTATCAACTCTCCCAAGCACTCACTTGATTATATACCCTATCACATGAACCCAACAATAGTATAATCCTGAATCTCTCATGTAAAGTGTAAAAATTTGCACCAAGTAATCTCACTATGCAGAGAAACTGCATTCAGAGAACCATAGGACTTTTGGTTCAAAGCAAACCTATTACAAATCAATGTGCTTCATCAGAACTTTAAGCAAAATATCACACTAGGAAACATCAGTATAGCACAGTATTTTAAATTATTTGTGAGACACACTGAATTATATTTTACACATTGGAACTGATGGCAGTTATGTTCTTTTAACATTTAAAAAGTCCACAACACCAGTTGAATTTTAAAGAATTTTAATACAAACTTAATATAAACTATTTCAGTCCCTCTCTTTAACATAAGACACTGACTCAAAATACTTTTATACCTTTTTCAAGTATTGCACAATGTAGGTACAAAATTAATATTTACGATTACATTTTCTTCCATAATATATAGCAAAAAATCTTTAAACTTTTTAACAGAAAATACAATTTGTGTTTCTCTCTTGGAAAAAGTATCCAATACAATTGAATTCCACCACTTAAGGAATATTTTCTACACTTTTTAGAATTGATGTTTTTAAGATGGATTTTATAATTTCAGTAAAAAAAATACAACATGAAGCTGCTGCAGTTGTCACAGATCACTGTAGTAAAAAGATAAAAATGCAATACCATGTTGTAGAAACAATATATACTCTGATATTTTACAAACTTTGTACTAAATTAAATTATACAATTAGAAAAGACCAATAAACCCACTTATTAGTGCCAATTTTTTATATATAAAAAAATCAGCCATGTCCTTGCTATATCTTAAATACTTTAAGAAGCCATATTTTGAATATATTTAATGTACAGTCAGTAAAAAATAACTTTGTGCTTGGTTGGCAAATGAAAAAGAAATGATGCATGTTGTCCTTATCTAACCAAGCTTGACCGTATTCATACTACAAGCTTTTTAAAAAACTCAAGAGGTGAAAAAGATACACCCTTGGGTACATGCATTTCAACTTGTACAATATGATTTGTGTTTTTTGTTTCAGTTAGCCATAACAGGCTGGAATTGCTGGTTAGAGTACTGCATGCTATTTAAGCTGAAATTCAAGCCATCCACAAAAGACTTCTCATTTAGACCTCCATAGGCTGCAAACATATCAAAGGCATTACTGTACTGGAGAGGACTAAGGTTAAGGGTACTGTCACCAGGAAACATATTTGTACTACCTTGACCCTGTACATTAGGGAAAATGAACTCCTTTGCATTAGGAGAAAGGGCAGAAGTTTTCTGCTGCTGTTGCGGTGGTTGCTGTTGTTGTTGTTGTGGAACCTGCTGGTTACCCAAGCCAAGACCATAAAGAGAGTGCATGGAGGAGGAAAGCGCTTTCTGTTTCAGCAGATCATTGACATTCAAGCCAAGGTTAGTGGGAGAAGTGCGGGCAACCTTGTTGGTGCGGCTGCTGTTCTTCATTTTGGTTGAGCCAAACTTGGTGGCAGCAAATGTGGCAGTAGTGAAAGTTAAAGGCTGGGTGGACCGGGGCATGAAGGTTGGGCTCACAGTAGCAGAATGACCAAAAGGAGGTGAAGGAGAACTTGTGACAGAAGATGCTGGCTCACTAATTGGCATGAACACCTGGGCTTCTGGGTTAAAGCTATTCTTGATTTCCTTATCCAATTCACATCCATTTTCACTCGAATCATCCACATAAAGCACTTTCACTGGTCCCTTTTCACCGATTTGGTATGAAACCTCAAATGGGTCAATCCAGACGCTAAGATCCTGAGGCAGATTGCCACGAACATCATCAATGTCCAAACCACTCTCTTTGGATGCTTGTTCAATAACTGGGTCCACTTTCTCTCCTACATGTATACATCTAAACCCTGATCCTTTGTATGGCTTTTCTGGATACCAATGCCCTTCATATTTCTTCTTAAGTAGTCTTTCAAGCTCTTCACCAAAAATGTTCACACGTCGTCTGGGAAGCTTATTGTACAAATATGAAATAATAAAATTGAGTGCTACTTGTATTTCAAGCTGCATAGCTGCTACAACACAGAATTACAAAGTCTCCGTTTCAAACCACAAAATGAGAAAAAGTTCAATACCACAGGAAAGTAATTTTTTTCAGAGTGCTGTTTCAAGAAGATTATTGTTCTTCACCTTGAGTAGTAGTGTTCCTTTAAGAAAACAAAAGCAAAATTGTGATTAAGGAAAATGTAAAAGCAAATTGATGAGGCCTATTATTTTATCCTCACATGTTATTTAAAATAGGTTGTATTTCAAAACTGCAGATATTACAACACTCTAACACTGCACATGCCACTTAAAAGCTGTCATTAAGTATGCTGAACACAAATGTAACACTACAGATTAAAACATTTTTACAAGTATAGCATTAGGCATTTCAAAATCTGAATTTGAAAACCAAGAACTTAAGCAATTTGCAAAAGAGTAAGCATGTCTTTAGGACATTATCTCAACAGAAGAAGGCCTGTCAGGAGTTCAGTTACCAAATACTATTTTTAGTGATTTACAGAACCCAGCTGTAGCATTTAGAATCACTTTCAAACGTCTCAAATCTAAGAGAGTAATTCTTTATTCTAAAGTTTCAAACTAATAAGAAATATGCTGTTTATTACTTGTAGAATTTAACAACTGCTTCAGTTTAAATAAACAGCAAAGCATCTCTTACCCTGGAATTGAAAACTGACAAGTTCTGAAAAAACTATCAAGACATGTAATGTTTCCCAATGACCACTGCTTTACCACATCATGCATATACTGTACATAGAAAAGAAATAATAATTCATCCCTTATCCACAAATAAACAAACTTCAAGGTTTCATTACCAACCCAAGACCATCAGAATTTTTTAAATTTGCCACCTTATTTCAGGCTTTTGAAAAAAACTGGGCTGACATCCTTACATATGAGATGGTTTTGCTTCATTTAAAAAGGAGCCATGGTAACTCTTCTATAAATTAATATAAAGCTAAAATAAGAGGTAAGGAATTCCTAAAAATAACTTGCTACTAAAAGGAGCAATGCATTAGGATTGAAAAGCCTGGTATCATCAATTACTGCTAAAAATAAACAGTTGTTACTACTACTGTTGAGAATTTTCCCAGCACAGCATTGTAACAGTAGTCTTGGAGTCTAGCAAATTCAAAAACTGGAGAGCCAAGGCACATTTCACATAAATCTGGATTTTACTTTTCTGTACCAGATAGTTACGTTTTCAGAGGTTCACCTTGCTTGTAAAGCTGTTTCCCTTTACTTCCCCCTCTCTTTACATGATAAGAGAACACCCAGCTGTATGATAAGGCGACCTTTAAACCATTGCTGGATCAGCACTGGGTGGGGATAAGGAAAGATCAAGGGCAAACATAAGATATTTACAAATGTGAACACATAGGGTATGGAAGATCTGACTGCGGCAGCGATATGGACATTTAAAATGATTTATTAGTCCATCTGTTTAACCTCCTCTGCACAGTTGGAACAATACTACCCTTTTAAGGAGGGCAGAAACGATGAAATTCATCTCATCCTTTCCCTTCCCTGTAATGATACAGCACAAGGAGTTCATTAAACAAAACAATTCAGAGTATGCCCAACATTTTCCTTATTTAAGAAAGGAGTTTTATAAATTAGCTAAACCTGCTAATTGCATTAATAATTATAGTGGTGTTGGGGGAAGGGAAAAAGGAGGAACCTTAAGCAGAGTATACAGCATTACATAACCAGGCAGTTGGGTCTCATTAGATTTCTGCTCACAGCTCTTTGAGCTCCAGCAGCAGGAGAAAAAGTGCTTTCTATGATGGGGGAAGATGATTGGCCAAGTCCACTCTCTTCTAGTTAAGCGAAGCCAGGCCCAGTTCTCCACTATCTCACACCCAGTGGCCTTCGCACAGCATAATGGGGAGGAGCAGCAGATATCCCTAAAAATGATATCTATTTCAATCTGACAAGCGTATACAAAAACACAGGCAGAACTGTTCCAGTCTCCCCACCACCACCACCACCACTTTACAAACTCTACTGAGATTCCCACAAAGAAACGTCATTTAGGCCTCCCCTGCATCATACTTAGCATATTCTCTTCCCATCCACCCACTAACTCCCCCCACACTTGCCTTTTAGCTCCAATTAAAAAAAACACAGAGACCATGCCACCCATGACCATCTACAACCCCTGCCAACACATCGCACCCCCCCCCTTTCTGGAGAGGAAAAAAGGAAACTGTGCCAAGACGCTCTCCTCTCCCCCACCCCCCGTCTCTCCCAAGTGCAGTCGCCTCTGACAGGCTCTGCCAACACTCGCGAGCCTCCCCTCCTGACTACCCCCCAAAACTCAGGCAGCCGCTGTCCCAACCTTGCACCCCCCCCCCACACACACACATTATTTCCCGGGGGGGTGGGGAGAGGGCGGGAGACGAGCTCTTCCAGCCAAGCCGCTTCGCCCGTGTTGAGCGAGGCTGCCTCGTGCCAACCACGTTGGCCCCATTCCCCACCCCACCCCCTTTGCTCGCCACCCCCGTCAGTGCCTCAGAGGGGCTGCGCCTGCCAGCGCCTCCTCACCACTCCGCCTCCCTCTGCAGGGCTGTGTCAAACTGTGTCAACACACACCCTCGGCTCGGCGCTCGTCCTGTCAGCCCTCCGCCAACACCCTCCTCGCCTCTCTCCGGACTCACCAGCGAGAGCCTTTCCTCGCCCCCGCCGCCGCCCCATCGGCTCCTCGGTTCTCCTTCCTCCGTACACCCCCCTCCCCCACACACACACTTTTCAGTGGGGCTGGCACAAAAAGCCTCACGCCCGCTACCGCCACCCATTCCGTGGTGACGAGGCTGTGGTAACCCCATCTCCACTCCACCGCGCCACTCCTCACCCACCTTCTGGCCCGTACCAGTCCCTTTCTACCCCACCCCCACCCCCTTTCTGGCAGGAGCTGAGGGGGGGGCACCACCCTTCGCCATACAGAAGCCGAGAGAGCGATACTCACCCGGGGTGAGTGAGGCGGCGATATGAATAGTGCAAATAAATCCCGGTGAGAGTGCGGGCGAGGAAGGAACGGAAAGGAGGGTTCAGTACCGAAGCCCCATTACCCTCGGGAAGGGCGCAAGGGAAAGTACGACTGCGCTTCGCACACCCCGGGACACGAGAGCCAGCGCCCTCCGCCTCAGCAGCTGCGAGACGCCTTCTTGTACCACCCGAGAGCTCGCCGCTGCCCTATTTATGCCCTCCCTTTCCACGCCTCCTCCATCCTGCGTGGATACGCCCACCCGCTCTCCGCCTCCTAGGTCCCGCCTACTAAGCTGCCAATCGGCCGGCCCCTGCCCCGCAAGCGGCGCCCCATTGGCTTTCTGTGCTTGCCAATAAGGCCTCCGACTCCGCCCCCTGCTCCCTCCGCCTCCCTGTACGCTTCTTTCTTTGCTTCAAACTCCTCCCTAGTCCAGGTTTCACAGGATTGCCCGTTCTCCCACCCGGCTGAATCCACAAACAGTAACATAACGTAAGAGTGGCTCTCCAGGGGGGTGGGTAATTTTACTGCCGGCCGCTTGCGACACATAACTGCAAAAATTGCTTTCCCTTAGCTACCTTGTGTATGAATATGGTTTGTGTTTTAGATTTATTTTATTTTTTGCTTCTGCCCTCAATATCTTCGCCTTTTCCCATCGAAACCTGTTTCTTGCAAGGGGGAGGGGAGGAATACTGTGGCGCCTGAGCAATTAACCGTTACTGTAGCATAAGCTTTCAAGGCCTACGTGAAGTGGCCTCTACACAGATAGCTTCAATACATCTTATTGAATATAAGATTTCCTTTTTTTAATTGCTGCAACAGACCAAACACAGTCTGTTTCTGCTGTTTTCACGCTTTGTCTACAGTTTGCTTTTCCTTTATTACCCTTTGCCGACACCATCTACCACCGCCACCTCTCTCCCCCATCCTTGCATGGCTCCGCCCATGCCTTATACGGCTGCTCCACACGCCCTATACACACGCACATATTTGCCTATCGTGATTAGTATTGATATTCTCTCCTCATCGCCATTTTACTTTACGAGCTCCTCCACCGCCTTCTCCTACTTCCCTGCATTACAGGAGCCAATGAGGATAAGATCGACTCTACGTCAATTCCCTCCCCCCATCATTCCTGCCCCCTGCTGCTATGGCTCTTGCAGTTACATCAACTCATACGTCATTCTCCTGGACAACTCTTCACCAAACTACATTTCCCAGGATGTTTTTCAGCGCTAGACCTCATGGGAGGGGAAATGAACCTGTTCCGAACCTGTACTGGGAGAAAAAAGAGAGATCAAAAGCTTTCCAGCCCAACTCCTGTCTTAGAAAAAGGCTGTGGCAATGAGATTAGGAGAGGTGAAGGCGAAACCCTCCAAACCACAATGGCAGGGTGTGATCTCCTCCCCTCTTTTCTTTCTTTCTTTTTGACAAGCAGGGAGTGTGTTTACGCATTTTCTTTCATAAAGTAATATTAATTAAATGAGATTTCTGACCTCATTTTATTCAAGAGTGCTGTTTCATATCACATGTGATTCCTCAAAAACATGTAAATGTCTCGCCAACTCAATGCTTCTACACTCACAGAGATTTTTTCCCTTCATAGAAAAGAGGAATCGCTGCTCCTGATATGTATATTCATACCACTTTTGCCTCTAATAAACAGGTTTTGCACAGTTGTGTATTATTTCAAAAACCTGCAAAGCCTGTTTGACCAAAGTACTACAAAAATAAATGCTAGTGTGCCACATGCTATGGGACGCTATGCCTCTTTCAAACCACTTAAATAGGCCTATATAATCGCTATGTGTGCCAAATGAACAATTTCTGCTTATGAAAAGGGGTGTTGGTGTTTGATTTTGTCTTGATAATTGCTATAGTTATTGTGTATATCTATAAAATCTTGTTTCCAACATATCACACTATAGCATGACCAAGAAGCAGAACCCAGGCTATGCAGACAGGAAGAGGCTTGATCCTCAGTAAGTCGCACAGCAGACATTGGCCCCATCCCAGTGGTGTCATTTCAACAACCTTTTGACTTCCTACATACTTCTTTCCGTCCTTGAAGGACAAGTAAAGCACTTGCACTCTTTTGCTGAGGATACAGTGTGCTGCTACCCGAATCCCTTCATGGCCTGTTTCTCACTGATAGAGTGGGGCAGGATGCAGTGGGACTGCATCTACCCATCAATATAGATGTCCTCTCTCCCAGCCCATGTCCATCAGGCATTTTGCTCCCTTGATAGAAAAGTAACTACAATAAGTTTTCATAAAACACAGGCTCATCTTTGACCCTTGCCATGATTCTTGCCCCTCTGACTCACTCCTCTCAAGTGGTGCTTCTGATTGTTACATATTCTCTTATTGCAGCAGAATATCACAGCTGCACAAAAGATGCCATTTATTTCAACTATTGAAGTCCTAGAGACCAGCCACCCTGCCCTTAGGGTCTCCTGCATTACAACGATTATTTGTAATTGTCTGATCTGAACAGAGAAAAAGACAGAAACAAAAGGGGATCTCAGTGGGGATTACCCTCTCCCCTGCCCCACTGTGTCTTTGCTATATTCCTGTCATATGGTTGCCAACGCTGGGTTGATTAATTTCTGGGGATTCACCAACGTTCCCTCTAATTCCCCCCCCCCAATGAGCGGAGCAGCTGACATCCTGAGCAGAATATAACTGCTGTAATCTTAAAATGGGCAATGGGCAGCGTAAGATCCTGCAGAGCTCCAGACTGCTGCTGAGTGGGGCCTCCTGTGTTAATGAGCTGCCCCTCAGACACACAGTTTAGAGCAGGGGTGGCCAAACTTGCTTAACGTTAAGAGCCACATAAAATAAATGTCAGATGTTTGAGAGCCGCAAGACGTGAACAAATATTACACACACGTTTTAATTGAGCAATATGCAAATTTACTTTTTATTAACATTGAACAAGACTGCCAAAAATAAAAACAAAAGTGGTAAAACAGATATGGATAATAATTATTTGTCCAATGGTTTTATTTGTTTGCTAATTATATTTATTTGTCTGAGAGAGAGAGAGAGAGAGAGAGAGAGAGAGAGAGAGAGAGAGAAGTGGAAAGAAAAAATGAAAGAGGCAGAAAGAGAGAGAGAGAGAAAGCAAACAGGGGGGAGGGAAGAGAGAAAGGAAAGAAGGGAGAAAGAGAAAGAAAGGTGGAAAGAAAGCAAATAGATGGGGGTGGAGGAAGGAAGAGAGAGAAAGAAACAAAGAAAGCAAATAGATGGGGAGGGAAGGGGAGGAAGGACAGAAGGAAGAGAGAAAGAGAAAGGTGAAAAGAATGAAAGAGGGGGAAAGAAAGGAGAGAAACAAAGAAAGCAAGAGAGAGAGAAAGAAAATAGATGAGGGAGGCGAAGGAAGGAAGAGAAAAGGAGGAAGGAAAGGAGAGAGAAAGAAAGGTGAAAAGAAAGAGGTGGAAAGAAAGCAAATAGATGGGGGAGGGGGAAGGGAGAGAGAGGTGGAAAGAAAGCAAATAAATGGGGAGGGAGGGAGGGAGAGGTGGAAAGAAAGCAACTTGGCTTGGAGAAGGGATTTAAAGAGACAAATGCCTTCTCCAAGCTGGCGGGCAAGAGCACTGAGTGGATCTATGGAGAACATCTTTAACTTTAAATATGTTCTCCAAGTCCCCTGCACCCACTGCCATGCCAGCTTGGCTTGGAAAAGGGATTTAAAGAGACAAATGCCTTCTCTGAGCCCAGTCAGCTGGTGTGGTGGAGGGGTGGGCCTTGGAGAACATATTTAACTTCAGATGCGGAGAAAGAGAGAAAAAGAAAGAAAGGTGGAAGGAAAGCAAATAGATGGGGGGAGGTGGAAAGAAAGCAACTTTAAATGTGTCCTCCAAGCCCCCCACCCCCATGCTGGCTGCCTTAGCTTGGAGAAGGGATTTAAAGAAACAAATGCCTTCTCCAAGCTGGCCAGCAGCAGCGGAGGGTGGGTGGGCTTTGAGAATGCATTTAAAATTGCTTTCTTTCTCTGCTCCCCCCACACACACTTCAAGCCTACCCAGGGAGGGGAACACTGGCTGGGAAAGGGAAGACCAGTCAGGGAGGCATGCCTTCCCTTTGCTTCCCCAGCCACCCTGCCGGGAGCCACACACTATGTGTGAAAGAGCCACATGTGGTTCCCGAGCTGCAGTTTGGCCACCCCTGGTTTAGAGGGAATACTAGCAATGGAGGCTGGGAAGGGACCTTAGTGGGGTATAATGCCATACAGTCCATCCTCCAAAACATCCATTTTCTTCAGGGTAACTGATCTCTGTAGTTTGGAGATCAGCTGTAATTCCAGGAGATCTCCAGGCCCCACCTGGAGCTTCTTAACCCGAATTCCTGAAGAGAGCAAAAACATTCCAGGAGCAGGGAACAGGGTGGGTAAGCAACAGCTTCCTCGTTCCAGGAAAAGCCACCAATGCTGCAATTCCAAAAACACTTTTCTGGGAGTAAGCCCCATTGAATAAAACGGGACTTACTTCTGAGCAGACACCCCTAGGCTCTCTCCCCGCCCCTCTCTCTCTGTCTCTCTCTCTCACACACACACATTTACCTGTGCCTGTTTCTCTTATCACTGGCATGAGTCCTGGGTAAGCGGGAAGTTTGACAGCCCTGTCACCTCCACCCGAAGTTTTAGGGTTGCTGACTCCAGGCTGGGAAATTCCTACAGCTTTGGGGGGGGGGGCGCTCAGTGGGTATAATGCCATAGAATCCACCCTCCAAAGCAGCCACTTTCTCCAGGAGAACTGATGCCTAAAGATAAGTAACTCTCTAGGCCGCACATGGAGACTGGCAAACCTATTTAGCCTGTGCTGGTGGTGCCCCTAGATTACGAAGGAAAGAGGCAGGCGAAATGACAGACAGAGGCGAGCTAAAAAGAAACGTGGGGGAGGGAAACGGCGCCTTACCCGGCTTGCCATTGGTGGCAAGACCGCGCGAACTGTCCGGCGGAGGAGAAAAGCAATTGGGTGAGGAAATCTGCCACTCAAATGGAGAAAAAGCAGAAGGAGGAGCGCTGCCCTTGCCTTTCTACAGCAGCGCTGCCGAAGCTTAATGTGCCCGTCAGGATCTCTGCGGTTAACAGGCGGAGGAAACAATTACATTCATTTAACCTTTTTTAAAAAGACAGCAAATATTACTGAAATTAGTCCCAACTGGATTGGATTATTTTAGAGGCCGC